ATATTCCCCCCAAACCACAAATTCCTTCTGAAACTGGCTTTGCTTGGGTTCTGCTCCCAGAATGACCCACTTGGTTAGATTAAATTCTAGACAAAAGCCTTAAGAACAAAACTTAGTTGGTGCTTTCCTTTTGCAGGCACATCGAACCCAACGTGCTTCTGAGGGGTGGCCCCAGACACCGGGGGGCTGCAGGGTATGTGGTGTCCAGCCAAGCCCTGTGGCTACTGTATTGAACTCACATCTCCCAGCCTCCTGATGGGTTGTCTCCCAGATAACAGAACAGGAAACTGGCGCCAAGCAGCACCATCTGCTCAGGTCACATGGTTGCTAGCAATGGTTCCCGGTGACAAGTCCAGCTCTGTCAGCAACCCCCACATCCATTCTGCTAAGCACTGCTGGCCCAGTAAGCCTTTTTCTTCATAAACGTCTACTTCCAAAGGCTTCTGCTCCAGCTTAGAAATAGCACTCTGTTGAAATTAACAGCAAAACTCAAAAGAATCACACCTCAGTGACCTTACCTGCCTTGGGAAAAGCCACTGTTCTTCACAGGCACTGTGACTGGCCACAAAGAGTCCTCAAGGCTCTCCCATAACTATAACAAAAACCCCAGTGGCTTCCGTGGGGGGGGGAACCCCCTATTTTTTCTGACCCTCATTAACAGTTCATTTTCTACTTCCTTAAAAAATCTCCCCTTTCTCAGGTATTTTTTCTTTCCCAGCCTACATTGACCAAGATGATGATGGGAAATAGAGAGCATGTTTGTTTAGTTCTCTGAAATCTGCCCCAACAAAGCCATCCTGTCAAAATTGACCTCTGATCAACACTGAGACCATGGGAGGACTTCATGAAATGAGGATCCAAATGGCAAATGAGCATCGGTAGTGAAGCCTCCCAATAAAAGGTGGTCAGCAGACACTTTCCTGTTAGAAAATAAGTTGGAGGTCACTCCCTGACCACCATGCTTCAGTCTCATTGTTTCCTTACCATGACTAAGAGGCCATCACGGGCTGCCCACCTCAGCGGAAGATGAGGGCCTTGGGCTAGAGTGGAGGTGGAGAGAGTGGGGAGGATGGTGCAAACCACATGTGAAAGTCATTCACCAGCCCGCCTTGCAGCCTTTCCCCACTTCTAACCTCTAAGTCCAGTGGGCTACCGTGACGTTTGTCAAGGTGTGGGTCAGCTGACTACCACCTCTGTGGGAAAAAGATGCACTCATCATTGCCCAAGGGCAACTTAGAGCTTCTTTAATGCTTTGGGGAAATTATCAAATACATCCTTTTAGACTTCATCCTTTTAGAGCAAAAAGAACAGAGCTTATATCACAAATGGAGAGTTCATTCATTCGCTCATTTCTGGTCCATTTGACAGTCTATTTCGAATGTTATCCCAGGCACATTCCCTGGGAAACAGGTTGACGTAGAGCCTTGGGTATGGGATTATTCAAAGAACCTACTCCTGGGAACCACACTTGGTCCTTGAGCAAAGGGGACAGGACATTTAACCCTCCTTTGGATGCCCCCTGAGGGCAGTGTGACTTTGGGTAAGGGACTCAGCAGATGGCAAGATTCCTTCCTTCCTTCCAGCCACTGCAGGGTTGAGGGGAAATCTAGATGGCATATCGGAATGTACACCCTAAATGCCAATAAAGAACCAGCATTTAATTTAACTGCTTCTGCTGACCTTGTTTCTCTGAATTAGGAGATTCACAAAAAACAAATATGGGAATATATCAATTTCCCTTTAGTTAAAGTTCCCCTACAACTGATTCAAACTTATAAACAATTACTAAGCAACTCATATGTAATTGGGTAAATAAAATAATGAACTACAACTCAGCTACAGAAATGAGTGAATTCTTGACATACACATGTTAAGAATTTTACCAAGTGAAAGAAGCCACACAAAAGTACATACTATATGATGTCACTTATAAAAAGTTCTAGAAAATTAACAGGGCTTCATAGTGCTTAAAGAAAAGAGTAGAAGAGGGTGGGAGAAAGGATCACCACAGCTAGAGAGGCACTTTGAAGAGGAAGGAGAGACTCACTTTTGGATTGTGATGATGATTTCATGGGTATGTGCATATGTCAAAATTTATCAAGTTGTACATTTTAAATATGCATAGTTCATTTTGTCAATTATAAGCCTAAATAAGGCAATTTTAAAAATTAATGGTGAAAGGGTGTGTTGTGCCAAGCTTTGGAAATACCACAGTAAATAATAAGAAAGAAATTCTACTTTGGGGAAGTTCAGAGTCCAGCAAAGGAGACAGATGGATCTTCAATTAAATCTAGTAACAAATCAGAGTAAAAACTAATATGAGAAAAAAGAAAGAAACTATAATGGAAGAACTGACTTTTTTCCTGGTAGGTATAGAAGATAGCTGCAGCTACTGTCTATGATATTTAGCATGTGCCAGGTACAAAATGCACCAACTCTAGTAAATCAAACAGCCATATAATCAGGGGTTGCAATTATGTCCACTTCACAGGTGAAAAAGCAGACTAAATCTGGAGGGACAGATACCAGAGTCTGTGTTCTTAATCACTAACTTCCATTGCTCTCTGAGAAGTAGCTCATTTGACCTGGACCATGGAAGACATCAAGTTGTCCCAGAGAGAGAAGCCCAAGAGGGCAGAGGGCCAAGAGGGCAGTGTAAACACTGACTATCAAATCACACCATATTTGAAATAAAGCTACTTGAAATATAACAAGAATTGCTTTTGAATATATTTGGGGAAGTATAAATGGGAAAGGAAGCTGAACAGGTAGATGAGGCTACAACATGAGGGACCTTGGCCATTTGCTAAATTTCTTCAGATAAAAGGGAAGCACTTAAGCTTTTCAAACAGAAGGATAATATATCAGCTTTGTGTTTTAGAAAGAGATTGGGAAGACAAGAGAATGTCTTCCTGTCTGCAGTTATATGGACACCAGGCAGATTTCACAAGAATTCCTTCTCAAACAATAGGCCATGAATAATATTGCACTGAAATCACATAAAAAATGGTTTACAATAGATTGATCAATTGGTCAATAGATTAGGCCACTCTGTAAATCTACATTTCAGCGTCAGAATGTTTTATTCTCTGCTCCTGATTTCTGTATTCATTCCATTTCCAATTTTGAAGCTGTAAATTTTTACCTGAGACATAAAAATCACAGAAGAACACAACTGGATGACAGAGAAGCAGACCCTGCTCAGAACTGGCCCACATTTGCTTGTTTTTATGGGCTTAAAATCAGAAGCCCACTTTTACTTTTGTTTTTTATAAAAGTGACTTTTTACTTCCTCCTTTCTTCATGTTAGATGATGACCACCCAAGGTCTACATCCGGACCAGCTGTTGGCCCATGGGTCACATCTGACACTATTGGAAGTGAAAATCTTTCTTCCAATGCTTTCATAGGAAATGTTAGTAAATCCTGTAAGTAGCAGTATTCTTCAGAGTGTAAAATTATTAACTAGCTACAGGTAATTCACACCTTCCATGGCAGATGCAAAGAGAAACCTCACATGCACTTTTCCTTGGGTTTTCTTAAAGAAACACGGTACAACAATAAAGCATCACCATGAAGCAGGACACAGCATTAGCAGGAAAATCAAATGCTTAGACACCCATGGAGACCAGAATATAAAAACAGGAAGTCCCTGGAAGGGATCTTATGGGAAAAATAAATCAGGCCAAGTAATCAAAAGTCTCAGTTTATAGTCTCAGTTCTGCCACTGACTCATTGTATTACCTCAGGCATATTCCTTAATTCTCTATTTTGAAAATGATACAATGCAACCTACTCATTCCTAGCATCCATAAGCAAGTCATCATGTTTCAATATATTCAACAACATTTATAAGGAATCTTCTATGACCCAAAATGTCATTTTGAACAGATAGCAGAGTCAGACTACACATTTCAATTTCTATTCCAGCACACTCTATTAGTGCTGCTCAAAGTTGCTTGGGCACACTCTGAGGGAAGGTTAAACAAATTTTGACTTAATCAATCTCAATTGATTAAGCCCCTCAAGTTCTGCACTTTTAAGCTAGATGCCCCCCAAATTCATATGCTCATAAAACTTGAAAAACATTATAGCCTGCAAAATTCTGTAAGAAAGTACTATTTTCTCTCTTCATCTTTCACCTGCTAAAACAGGTAAAAATATTTGAAATAATGTATTTTCAATGGATACAATTTTTCCTATGTGAACTCTCAAAATACTGACTGCATATGGACACTGATTTCAATTAGAACCAGTAAATATTACTTCCTTTGGAATTTTGCAAACATTTCAGACTAGTCTCTATTTGCTAAACATACGCCTTTTAGTATTTTGCTCTGTATCCCTGGAAAAGTGAAGTAAAGCCTTTCTACCCCAACTTACAATGCAATTTAAATGCCACCACCCATTAGATGGCTGGATAGATAGATAAAGGGATGGATGAGTGAGTGAGTGAGGGACTAGATGGATGGATGGATGATGAATGGATGGATGATGAACAGATGGATGATGAATGGATGGATGATTTTTTAAATCTGTGAATGAACAAATTTTGCCCAATGACCATTAGAAATTGTTGTCAGTGTTAGGAATATAAGTTCTTCCTAAGACTTCATCAAAAATTGTCTAATTTTAATTGTACAATATAGAAATGTAAACATAAGCTAACAACACTATACAGACACATTTTAACCTTCCATCCCTCCTCCTCCTCCGGCAGTCTTGCATCTAAAGGACTTACTAGTTCCACCCACATGTGGTAGGATGCTCAGTGCCACCAACTCACAACTCTCCACAACTGACGTGACGTATGCGGTCCCCTAAATGTTCCACCAGGAAGTTTTGGGGGCAGCTAGCTAAAAGAGGGCTTCCAAGATGACAGAGGAGTTGAGATACATGAGGTCACAGAACTACTGCCTCTCCCCCTTCAAAAGAAACCACTCGCTCCGTTTACTTCAGAATCTAGAGGAAGCGGACAGTGTTGTAGCAGCACAGTGCACTATGTGGTGGAGAATTTGCAGCTTGCTGGTTTGGTTCCCCTTACAAGGTAAGGACTCTGTCTTGAAGTTTTTGATGTTCAGTTGATCTAATGTTTTGCCAAATCTACCTACCCGTCAGTCAACTGCTTTCATGGAGGACGGATGACAAAAGACAACCCAGGTCAGTTTGCTAACACCTCCAAAACAAGCTAAAATTATGCACCTGAGGGGTGGACTGCATCGATTTAATCAGTCACTAAATAGTATAGAAGCATGTGTTTCTGGGGAGAATCTATGTTATGACAAAATGTAACAAGTTTATTTGGCTGTCTTTTAAGGGAATTATCAGTTTTGTGATTTAAAGTCATCTTTGCTATATAAGCCTTAACCATTTCTCTGAAACTCAGTTACTGAATTTTGAAATGAATATTAGGTTGGATCAAACTCCCTGGGTTGTTATAAGGATCAAATGTCAGATGTGAAAATACTTTGAAAATTACAAAATGCTATATCAGTCTTAATTCATTCAGAAGTATTAACAGAAAATAATAAGGAAATAGGTTTGTCCTTATTTTCCCAGTCATTATACTTTACATTTTTATCATATTTCTCAGATCTGATGTTTAATGCTAATTCTAAATTGGTATTATGAGAATTAAAGACACCATGGCCTTTTGACACAGGCTAGATCATCTCTACCCAAAAATGGAAGCAGAGATATAGGTGAACTTGAGACTGATTACATCTGTGTTATATTCGTGCAAAGGAAATCACACATAAACATACTGCTTGCTTTTTTGTGTGCATTTGTTTCCAAATACTAAGCCCCTAGTTAGATTTCAGGTAAGGTACCTAACATTCAAAATCAGCATTTGCCATACCATTGTGCCAGAAGGATGCCAGTTTTAACAAAAACCAGATTTCCTATTTTTACATAATTCTTCAGCTTTCTATTTTATATCCTTCCATTAGTGCCTTCTTTTTTGGTCCCTGTACCCTGAGGCACTGAATAAGGATTCAATTTTGGTAATAAATAATATTCATTTCCTTAAAAAATAGATTAAAGAATAGCTAATGCATTCAGAAAGTCCTTTTAGAAAGCTAAAATTAGAATGCTTTTAATTATTCCAAAGATTAAAACTTTAAGCTGACCTTAACCTTTTTAGGATTTGAGTTATTATCTCCTAAAAAGACCTCACCAATATAAATTTTTAAATCAAGATAGCAATACTTATGTCTTACAATAAACCTAACAATTATTCTCTAGAATACATATTCAAGTACTATCTATTAAAAAGGGGAGATATATTTTATTTTGTCAGGCATCATGCTAATGATGTACTTTATGGTAACAATTGTACATCAATTGTACATCAATTGTACATCAGTTGTACTTTATGGTAACAATTTAATACTAGCAAAGATACTGAGATAATTATTAATATCCACTATTTATGAGAAAATTGAGCTTAAAGAAGCTAGATAATTGTCCAAATCCCAAGTTTTTAAAATTATTAAGTAGCAACAAAACATTGGCCTGCAAAACACATAGTAAAGTTATTATCTCAAAGAGTTAAATAATGTTTGCATCTATGTGTTGTGATGGAAAATGTGTTTGTTAATTTGGATTAAAAGTTTGAAAGCTGCTGGTTTCTACAATTTGGAAGATTCATCATGAAAAATAATCCCAACATAAAAACTCATCAAAAGGGCCAGAAGGCGGCCTCTAGACCTAATAGAATTTGGCAACTGTCCACTCTGACTTCGCACTGCTCAGACCTGTCAGAGGTCCAGACAGGGAGGGAGCTGAGTGTGTGACTCTCTTGTGAGCAAAGAGGAGCAAATCAGGAGTACTGGCAATAACAGGATTTGTCACTGTTTTTAATGAACTGAATCATAGAAAGATCACTCCACCTTCTTCTATGAAGTAAATTTGATGGCTACCAAAAAAAAGGTCTTAGGATAGGTAAAAGCACACTAAGGATTTTTAAAAATTCATTCCAGCCCTCCCTGGTGGCGCAGCGGGTTAAAGCACTGCACTGAGAAGCTAAAGCCACTTCTGCATGAGTTCGATTCCCGCCTGCCCCAGAGGTGACCACATGGCGTGGCAGACCTCTCCTGACCCGCCCGCTGCTCCCCTCAGCAGTGTACTTCGTAGATCTGCCTGTTCTGCTCCCCGCTCTGTCTCTGGTGAAGCCTCTCGCTGCCCCTAAGCCTCTGGCCTGTACCCCAGTTCTATATGTACAAATAAATAAATCTTTAAAAAAAAATTCATTCCATTTACCTATATCAGAGAAGATGAAAAGCTACAAATTTCAACCCCCCTATTCGGATTATTTAGAAGGTAGGATGCAGGAAACATAAAGAATGTTTGCATGTTGGCTGAGTGCCTGCTGGTCCTTCTTTTGACCAAGAAGTCCTGTCTGTACCTGTTGACATGTTCAGACAGCTTCCTTAAGCTGTATGAGAAATAATTTGATTTTGAACAAAGTCAGATTCATTTTCACATTGGTAGTTCCCACTATTGACTCCAGCTAATACTAACCCCTTCTTGTAATGCTTGAAATTGGAGAACACTTTTTTTTTAAGATTTATTTATATATACAAGAACTAGAGTACAGGCCAGAGGTACGGGGATGAGAGAATTCACCAGAGACAGAGTGGAGAGCGGAACAGGCAGATCAAGTGAAATACACAGCTTGAGGGGAGCAGCGGGCAGGTCAGAAGAGGTCTGTGACACCATGTGGGTCACCTCCCTGGATGGGAATCGAACTTGCATTGCAGTAGCTGTGGACAGCTTCATAGCATTATGCTTTAACCAGTTGTGCTACCAGGGAGGGCCCTGAAGCACACATTTTGCTACCACCTCACAGTGATCATGGATACAGTGTTCATAATTCATTATCATTACAGAGCAAAGTTAGCAGCCTATTGAAATCTTTATCACCGAATATAGGCATTAATTACTCATTTTTAGTCATTAACTGATACTCAAACTCTTGAACAGGTTCTGGGAATTGAATGAGTGGCAAGGAACTTTTCCATGATGCGTCTGCAGTCTATCCATGGGCATATTTACAACCAAATAGTCATAATATCACATGTTGAGTGCTGTCATAGATGTCTAGCCAATGTCTTTGGGGAAGAGAATATATGACCCTGTGGTGAGGAAGGAGGCTAGAGTCTAAGCAGGTAGGTTTGACAAAAGTGATGCTATTTGAATTGTGTCTAGGAGAAGGTAAGAAAGGTATTGTAGGCCAAGAAACCAAGACAATATATCTGCTGGAGCCTCAAGCTTTTTGAAAACAGCAAGTGGCCATGTGCATACAGCTTTGGGAGGGAGAAACTGCAGTTGACAGTAGGGGAGAAGAAGGAAGTCAAAATGCTTGGAATTGGGGGTTAATTCCTACACAGAGGCAATAGGAGCCAAGGACGTACTCTAAGGAAAGGGGAGACATGATCAAATGTATGTGTTTAAAAACACACATTCTCAAAGCAGCTAAGGATGATAAATTAGAGGTAAGAGATTAGAAGGAAGTGATTGCAATGACCTAAGGAAAAAAATAAAACAAAGGCAGCCTCAATGAAGGCAGCATAGTGAAGAGAGATACCAACTGATGAAAGAGCACTTTTGGAAAGAGGAGGCTGGGCTGCAGTGGTCAGTGGTGAGCTCTTCCACCCATAGAACAACTCATTCATGGGGCTAAGGGCTGAGAGGACAGTGAAAGCCACAGATTCCACTTCCATCTATACACCAGTCACAATCTGTATCTCCACACTCAAGTAGCAGCCTCATAACAACACGTAGCCACACGTGGATGGATAAATCCAGTCACGGAGTGAGGCCCAAGCCCCGAACTCAATAACCCACTCAGTTAACAGGAGCAGCCAGGAGTCAATGGTCATAACCTCCCTGGAAAGACACCACAATCATTTGTCACCAAGCTCAGTAGACTCAGTGTTTGTGCACCCCACAGGGCTCATTTTCAGACTGGAATTCTGGAGCCAAGAGGGGAAGAATGAGTAGGCAGCAGGCACTCAGGATCCACACAAGAAAGACGGAGGTGGGGAAGGAGACACGTGTCTTTAGAGCATGCAGGAGAGGAAGTGGTAAGCAGAGAAGGCACACCACACCCCCACTCCTCTGACAAAGAAGGTGAAAGTTTGACTCCAAGCCTAGATGACAAAAAATGTAAACGATGAATTCCAGTCTAGTTTTCAATGCCACGAGAGTCCAGGGGAACGTTTCCTTAGAAAGTGTACTTTTAGCACTGAAGTATAGTTATCCCCTTTTCTGGCCATTAACAGGACCTTCAACACCTAACAATATTCTGAAGCACTACAGCTGAAGCAATGTGGGCTGTGGCTTTTCACTGGGACAGACATTCTTTCCTTTCTACTACGATTTCCTGTCTCTAAGTTAAATATGGGGTCTGTATGTTAATACCAGAGAAATAGACCAGTGAAGCCAAAAGCAACATTTGGAGCAAAGAGGAAACCTATATGCTGTGCCTCACACTCAGCCTTTTCCCTCTGAAATTCAGGTAGCTGTCACTGTGGTTCCTCTGGTCTGCAGTCTGGTCCTGAATTCTCAGCCACCGGAATGAGCATCCTTTAGATAGACCATGCTAAAAAGCCAAGCTAGAGTTCATTACAATGTTTAAGACAGTATAAGTGTTCAAGAGACACTTTGATTCAAAAGCATGCATCACAAGAAAAAGGCAGTGATAGATACATCTTTAAAATGGGAGGCATTTATTTCTATAGTTAAATCTCACCACTCCATTCCGCCCAAAGGCAGGCTTCCTAGTGTCTAATGCATCGTTTTAGCAAGGTGAGAATTTTGGGAAACTTTTAAGTGTCCAAATCTGACCTGAAGGATGAAATCAAGGTGTGTTGCATAACACTCATCTTTACTATTGATTCAGTGCAATAATGTCACGCCCAGTGTTCTCAATAAAACAGGAGAGCAAAGGAATCCACCCATTGCCAGCATTAGAGCGCCATTGTGAGAGCTGGCACCAGACCAGTGCTTTGCAAGCTCACACAATGATATTTGCCCATCAGGAATAAATTTTAGAGAAATAGTAAATATAGGCACTCTAGAAACAGAAGTCTCTGTAGAAAACAAGACAATGCATAAGATCCAGAGACTAAAGCTAGTTGAAGAATGGAATGATTATGGAAGCTAGTTCTAGGTTCAAGCTCTTGACTCAGAAGCTGCTTAAGCTTAGAAAAAATTCCATTGTCAATCCAAACTAACTCTACTAAAATTACTCAATTATGGGTTGGTTTTGTACATGGTGATAGTCCCAAATGACTCAACTAAAGCTGAATCCTGCCCCAATGCCTCAATGCTTTATTGAAAACAGCTTCTTTTTATGACTTCTCCTTGTTCTTTATGTTATTGGCTGATGACATGGGGATTTTTTCATTAGAATTTGAGTGAACTGTTTTCCCATGAAAGTCAATATAAATACAATACAATAATTCTGGGCTGTTCTTGCTGTAGGCTAGGTTGAAATTAAAGACCTAGGAGTGAAACAACCAAAAAGTCAGCACCAATTTAGTCCCAGAGCTCTCCAAGTCATTTTTTCCTAATAGTTGAAATTCAACACAAGGAAATTAAGTACCTTCTTATTTCTCTTTTTAAAAATAAGGTTTAAGATTATACAGAAAAGTTCATTACATTTGCTATTCATGATTTATAATCCCACAGTATTCTGTTTGTGGAAATGTTTTTGTACTTTCATTAATGAGAATTGTTTTGTCCTTGAGGGGAAATTCCTTTTTTTAGCTTAAAACGTGAAGAAATAACACATGACAATAAATGTACCCAATCAACAGTAAAGTCAACTTATTTCTCTACCAATTTGCTTTTTAGGAGGATAAACTTGCAGCTGCTTAGAATCAATTGTCTATCATTGCTGGGGGTTGTGATTTGGGGAAATTAGATTCTCACATTTGCCTGATGAAAGTACTATGGAATATTAAATTGGAAGATCTTAGAACATCTTTCCTCGGAAGCAAACTCATTTGCAGGTGGGGTTTGATGCTACCTCAGAAGGTAGCTCCATGTTTCAGAGAGCAGTGTAGGTGATTAATTCTCAGAGCCCCCATGTTTATTACAGCACTATTTATAATAGGTAAGACTTGGAAACAACCCAAATGCCCCAAAGTAGATGACTGGATCAAGAAGATGTGCTACATATACACAATGGAATACTATTCAGCAACAAAAAAGATAATCTAATGCCATTCACGGCAATATGGATGGAGTTAGAAGGGATTATGCTCAGTGAAATAAGTTAGAACAAAATTGGATGGTTTCACTTATAGGAGGAATATAGGGAAACTAAAGGGGAAAAATCAAAACAACAAAACTAAAAAATAATCAGACAACTATAAACCAGACATTCTGCATGGAAGGGGAAGGAGCAGAGGGGGGTGGGGGAAGAACACAAGGGACTAGGGTACATGGGTGAATGGGTGAATATATATATAAATTCTATGGAGAATATACCTGATGTAAAATATACACAAAAGAAGAAATTAGGTCTGAAAAAAGAAGAAGAATCAAGATCTGTGACTTGGGCTTGAAGGTACAAGTTGCCTGTTTAATAAACTGAGGCCAGGATGACTGAGTTCTCTGGGGTCTCATTCCTTAGAGAGTCCAATTCAGTGACATGAGCATGGACTTGGAAGCCTACAGACATAGGCAGAGATCCCAGATCCAGGGTCTAGAGTGGGCAGAATAGGGTAAATCTGGGAGTTAAATAGAGTAACATGGCCTTCCCTGGTGGTGCAACAGGTTGGGATGCAGCACTGCAAGCTAACCACAGCCCCTTCAGTGCGAGTTCGATCCCTGGCCCAGGGGTGACCCACATTGCGTGGCAGACCTCTCCTGACCCGCCCACTGCTCCCCTCAGCAGTGTACGCTGTCGATTTGTCTGTTCTGCTCCCCACTCTGTCTCTGGTGAAGCCTCTCAATGCCCCTGCACTTCTGGCTTGTACCCCAGTTCTGTGTGTATCAATAAATAAATCTTTAAAAAATATATAGAGTAACATAGCCTTCAGTTCCCAGCTTAGGACTGAGCAAGTGCCCAAAAGATGTTCCACTCACCTTCCTTCCTGTCAGCACCCATCCCTTCAAGACCTCCCTCAAGAGCCATCAAGAGCCCTTGCCGCAAACATTGCTCACTCCTTTCCTCACATTTTTGGGCATTAGCTGATGTTTCATTTTTGTTAGAAAAATGTAATAAATTATTGAGATAAATGAACCAAATGGTGTTGCATCTAAGACCTGTCCTCAGCTGGGAGAGGCCTGACCTGAGCCAGGTTGACTGACTCTCACTCTCTTCCTCTGCAGAAGCCTTCCTGACTAACCACACAGAAACCCTCACTGTGGAGGAAGGCCAGACGCTCACTCTGGATTGTGTGGTTTCTCAGGCCAAGAACACCTCCCTGCAGTGGCTGGCTCCTTCCGGGTTCACCATTTTTTTAAACAATCATCCTGGTAAGTGAAAGAAATCTAAATTGCCACCAGGACTAACCTGAGGGATTTTCCAAACAGGCTGGAGGGACAGAAAGTTCATGTGAGTCACCCCAACAGTGGGCTTTGCCCCACCTACTGCTTCACGTCAGTCACGCCAGGACTCTGCTCTTTCACACATGGCTGCTTTTATTGACAGGAAGTCTGAAATGGAAACCCCACCAGAGTGGCTGGTAAAGGGGGCTCAAGTCACAAAAAGTAATTCCATAACCCTGTAACCCCCCACGTCACTCTTAGTCTCAGTGACCATGAAAAACCAGTTACAGTGCTTTGACAGGAGCAAACTGAGAGAGTTTATCCTCACTGTCACCCCCATCAAGAGCCAGCTGCTCCACTTCCCAGTTGAGCAAGCCGAAGTCACCAGACTCCCTTCCAGACACCACCTCTTTTCGTGTTGTCTTAACGTAAAATCAAGATGACAGAGTTTAGGAACCTACAGGACCTATTGTTTTGCAAAGGAAGATGTATGAAAGCATGTTAGATGAGACCTTGACCTCCGTAAATGCCTGATAAAAGGCCGGGCCCTCCCTGGTGGTGCAGCGGGTTAAAGCACAGCACTAAGAAGCTTAAGCCACTTCTGCATGAGTTCAATCCCCGCCTGCCCCGGAGGTGACCACATGGTACAGCAGACCTCTCCGGCCCGCCCGCTGCTCCCCTCAGCAGTGTACTTCGTCCATCTGCCTGTTCTGCTCCCCACTCTGTCTCTGGTGAAGCCTCTCACCCTCTTCATCTCTGGCCTGTACCTCAGCTCTACATGAATAAATAAATAAATCTTAAAAAGAAAAAAAAGGCACTCCCCCCCCCACCTTAGTTTTATTGAGATATTGAGGTACTGAATTAATTTCAGGTGTACAACAGAGTGATTGGTAGGTGCAGATATTGTAAAATGGTCACCACAGTACATATTGTTAACATCCATCATGTCACTTACTATGTATTATTTTTTTTCCTGTGGAAAGGTTTTCTTTAAAAGGCATGTAGTTCTTCTCTTTGGACAGGATTGTACTAAACCTTCCCCTTCATAAATGAGTCCATTTTCTCTTCATTAAATATCCCTAATTATCAAATACTCAGAAAGGCCTCCAAAACAGCAACTTCATCTCCTTTGTGAAAGCAGTCTCTAGAAAAGTTGATGTGCTTAGAAACAGTCTTAAATATTGATGTGTTAAATGTAAAATAACTAAAAATACTGCTTCAAGTGAAATCTACTAGCAATAGATTATAAAATCAGTACATAGTAATTGTTAAAAGCGCTATGTGAATGAGAGATAATCTTGTTAAATAGTGCTTTCTGTGTTTTTGTTTTGGGCAAACTGGGAGAAGACGGACATTGTCAAATTTCTCCAGCAGAATGCCTTGATCTACCTTGGTGGCTCTCAACTGGGGGTAATTTTTACCTTCAGGGGACATGTGGCAATGTCTGGAGATACTCTGGGTTGTTCTAAGGAGAAAAGGCAGTGGGGTGGAGTGGGAAGTCTAACATCTAGTGAGTAGAAAGGCCAGAGATGTTGCTAAACATCTTACAATGCACAATAGAACCCCCACAACAATGACTGTGGGCTCAAATGTCAACACTGTTGAAGTTGAGAACTTCTAAATTCCAGCTCAAGCAACATCAGTGTCTCAGAACACATAGCCATTGTTTCCAAATGAAAAACAACCTTCCTTCCTCAGTCATTTAGGATTCAAACGACTTTAGCCTTATTCACATAATAGATTTCAAAAGAAAAAAAAAAAACACCTAACACCACTCATTTCAAGAGTCTCTGATTGGCTAAGGGACCTTTGTTTTGACCTGAGATGGAAATCCCAGGTCAATATAGGATCAAAATGTACACTAGTTATTAGCTGGAACTTTCCAGAACTTGCTTTTAGTTTCCACCACTGGCTAACCACCTGGAGGGTCGTAATGAACTTTTTAAAATTAAAAAGAAGCACCCAGCCAAAGCAATTCCTTGATCTTCTATTCTTCATAGTTGTTATGACAAGATGACTTCAGATAAGCAGATTTCAAAAAGGTAACAACCAATGAACATTTTTCATGATGTAAAAAAAAAAAGCTCTGTGGTACACCTAAAATTAATTCAACTGCAACTGAACACTTCATCAGTGTAGTGTTCCTAATTTCCTACAACACCAATAAAGCAACTTGTTCATTTCACAGTTCCCAGTATCAAAATATTTCCTTTCCTACACTAGCTTCAAGTTACTGAGAGGCATCCAGCTGGTAACAGAATTTGAAAGGCAGCTCAATCAAGGATGTGACATTTGTTCCTTTCAAGTGTGAAAATCAAAAGCTATTCCTGTGAAGAATCAATTCACCGAGCGTCTGTATTCATCTGATACCTTCCCTCATAACAGCCCTCTTTCCTTTTTGCACAGCTTTAAAGAATTCCAAGTTCCAGCTTCTCCATCATTCTAGCCATCGGCTCTCTATCAGCCTGCCTAACGTAACCCAGCAAGACGAAGGCGTGTACAAGTGTTTACATTACAGCAGCTCCGTGACAACAAAGGAAGTGAAAGTGATTGTGCTAGGTAGGTGCCTGCGAGATAAGAAGCCAAGATGCAAGCGATGTATTTAGGAATGAAACGGGTCGTTTTTAATTCAACATTTCGGTACAAAACGTTGCCAGATTAAGGCATTTCCTGGGGGGGCCACATGTCCTCCGCCACCTTGTGCTGAAAGGAAACAGAATAGAACTGTGAGGGGGGCAAGACCTAGATTCAAAGGTGAATTTATTAAATTGATCTTTGGCATCTGCTTAAGTTTTCTCTTCCAGGAACTGAAAGGAAAAAGACAATATTTGATGGGCTGCGTCTAACTGCCACTAGATGGCGCTAGGAGTCGCTAGCTATCAGGCATGCCCATAAGGTGTTGGCACACTAGCTTAGGGCAAATCGTGTCTGAAAACAAAGCGGAGCCTAATTGCAGCCTGTCCGTAGGTAGAACGAATTCAGATGAAACTAAAGTGGACATCAGCTCACATCCTCTGCCAAATCAAGGTCTCTGTTCTAGTAACGGGGGGCTGAGAGGTGTGGGCAGGAAGCCCCAGCCGGCTGATAGGCTGCCACTTAGCTCTGCAGATGGTCAGCTGTGTTCCATCTTCCTTTCTTGTATGACCCAACAGGTTGATTAAAACCATTGCTTTCTACGTATCTGGAAATAATATAATCCTACGTATCGTACAAAGGAATTTCTTAGACTTTCTTGTTGAGATAGTAGAGAGTAGTGTCTACCACAAAGTAAAGACAGAGTGGCTCCCTGAGGATCTGAGGGCCACAGAGACCAGCTGGGGACTTGTCTTCTCCCCATCTTACTGGTCACCTAACAGTACTATAGCTGAAGTGCATTGTTTGCCCCTTGGGGGCTCTCACAGTGACCTAGGCACCCTTATCTTTGCACTTAATACACATTTTTAATTAACAGTCTTGGGGCTGATCTATTACCCACTATTAGCAACTTGAGGGACCATGTCTCCTTCATATCAGAATCGCCAGCATCGAAGGACCTCGTACTAATACACTTGGAGCTGACGGTGTCTCACAAGCAGGTGGATAAGGAAATCAGTGTGAAAGAGCACAGCTTGCTAGCAGTAAGAACAGGATGGGAAAGAGAAGGGAGTAAACCTAATTTAAAAGTATTTTCAAAACAGGAGTAGGAAGCCACAGGACCCATGGGCCTTTAATAAAAGAAATTCATCTTTGATGTTACAAGGGGACAAAAGTAACTTACTTTGAGGTGAGGCGTAGATTTAAAAGCTTAGGGCTCAAAGAGCAACTCATAAGCTGGCTCCTTCGTGTGATATACTAAGAATGCAGGGGATGCACTCATCTTACAAGTAGGTGGGGCCAGAAATGGGCCTAGAACTCAAACCTCTATCTAGTGTTTTACCTGTGTAATGCAATGCTACATCAGATTTAAGAATTGCTTTTATAACAGTCTGGAATTATCAGAGATAAACTGCAACAAAAGTAGTTGTACAAACACATAAAAGCAGTTTCACTGTATTTTGGGGAAAGCAAATTAAAAAAAATGCCCATTAATTATGCGCATGAGCCACAAGATGTCTACAGCTTATAGGCTCTACGCTTTGCAAAAGATGTACACCAGCAAATTAAACACAGGAAAATCAAATTTCTTCTAGCTACTCCCTTCAAGCCAAACGTGGAAGCTTCAGTTACCAGAAAGCAAAACGGAGAAGAATATGCTATACTTCAGTGCACCACCACAAGAAGCAAGCCCCCGCCTCAGATAACCTGGCTCTTAGGGAACTTGGAGATCTACGGTAAGTGGAGACCCTGTTCTCACGCCTTTGTTTTCCTTCCTACTTGAATTTCCAAAGGATTTTTAAATGTTCTAGCACCCCCTCGTGGCAGGAAGTGCCAGAAAAACACCATTCATTTGATCAGTAATCTATCCCGTTTTCCAAATTATCTTTATATCCAAATCAGTATTAATATTTAAGGAATAATTAAAACAAGGTAAAAACCTAAAATGTAATATAATAGCTTCTTAAAATTGGACCAATTTCATAAAAGATACCAGGTAGCTAGTACTTTGAGTGTAAACATTTAAGCAGGCATAAATATGAAAGTAACATTTAACATAATACAAGCCATCAGAACAGGCACCATCTTCCTTATATAGTGTAGGGCTATGTTATACCTCCAGGTGGTGGATAAAATATTACAGTAACAAAGAATCTAAACTGTCAGCCTTTGGATTGATGGAGATACCTAGTTGTCATGCTTGGGAACTATAGTTTGTTACATTTCAGCAGACATGATAGTGACTTGACATAATCATAGATTCTTACAGCTGGAAGGAGCCCTTCATCGTTGAGAAAAAGGGCCAAATAGAGTTCCAGAGAAAAATGACCTAAAAACTCAATTTGATTCCCAAGCCAGTGCCTAATTTATGTCACTACAGACCTCTCCCTAATTTCCCTATTCTTTCCGCAGGAGGAATCTTGGAGTTTTATTTCACAACTTCAAACTATCCTTCCTACCTATGAGAAGCTGGGATTATGGTTTTTAGCAGTGACAGGTTTACAGAAACCTACCCTCTGTCCAGTGTTTTCCCTTTGTGATGAAGTTTTAGAACGAGGTTAGAATTTAAAGTATTTTGTCTAGATGTCAGGACCAGGGGCCTCTGAAAGGACCAACCAACCCAAAGCAAGAAATCACCACAGTCTCACACACCTCTTTAAATTGCTCCCTAGGTGAAACTCACCACAGATTTGAAGCTGATGGGAAGAAATGCAACAGCACCAACACCCTGAAAGTCCGAGCCTACAGCAAGAACACAATAGTGCATTGCATCATCCGACACAAAGGTCTGCAGGGCGGGAAACTGGTCGCAGCATTCCAGTTTGCAGATTTGGGTAAGAACGGATGATTATCTTTAATCATTTTTAAACCTTCTTAATATCACACTATCAAACAAAGTTAAATGGAGTGGGGAATCGTCTTGCAGAGCGAGAAGACAAAGGTCCCCTTAATACCACATTCCTTTAATGATGGAAAAGCTGTACATGAGGGCTGTAACAGGGCCAACATTTCAGGCGAATCCTAGTTGTACCGAAAGCCTAGCAGAGCACCACATAGAAAGACTGTCTGGCTTTCTCTGGACAATGGCAGTGAGCATGACTTGACCGTTAATAGTTTTACTGAGGTCACATTTTCGGGAAAAGCACATAAAAATGAACCAAAACTTCGTGCTTGACACAAACAAATGTAACCTGTTGATAGCATTTCATGCTCCTTGAAAAGCCACATTAAGTCATGATTGTTCCTTAAGAGGTATTTTATCATGCCTGTTTTGATTAATTAGTCTAACCATGTTAATGTTCTGAGAACACCAATAATAAGTGAGGTGCCGGCTCCATTTTCACAATCTCTGTTCTCTCATTCCTTCACCAAAAGGTAAAGAAATAATTTTAAAACCACATAAAACTTTTGGAGCCAAAAAGTGACCTATAAGAAGTTAACAAGAGTGCTCTCCCTGGTGGCACAATGGGTTAAAGCACCATCTTATGAAGCTCTCCAAAGCCACAGCAGAATGAGTCTGACCCCCTGCCAGGGAGCTGACCCACATGGGGAAACAGACCTCTCCTGTCCCCTGGCTGCTCCCCTCAGCAGTGCATTTCAGTCCATCTGCCTGTTCTGCTCCCCACTCTGTCTCTGGTGAATCCTCTCACCCACCACACCTCTGGCCTATACCCCAGTTCTGTGTGCATAAATAAATAAATCTTTAAAAAAGAAGTAGCAAGAACCACAAGTCCACAATGAATAGGAATCTGACTTTCATTACTTTATATGGTATTTCTCTGTGTAAAAAGAGATTCCAAAGTACAAAGATTCCCTTATACTGTGAAGGAGGAAACTACAGGGCATGCATTATTGGAAAAGCTTTATATCAAACACAATAGCTGATAATGAAAGACTTTTATTAACCAGAACATCATTGTAGGAACACTGTAGGGTGCTGTGGGGACTGCTGCCGTGGTTAACAGGTACCCGCACTCACCACCACGTGCCTTTCACAGGTAGGTCACTTTCTCATGAAACCATAAGCGGCAATGAGGAAGTTGCACTCAGAACCGTCATAGACCCACAGATGGCTAAATTGAAATGTGACACAACTATTCCTAATTCTTTATGATTCATTCTCTCCGCCCACCCGTGGATTGTGGTGTAGGACAGGTGGGTGATGAGAGAGGCTCACCAAAGAGAAAGAAAGGCTTGGTCTATGTTAATGCTTCCTTGAAAGTCATTGAGATTCTTAAACAAGAGAAGCATCTGTATTGAAATATATAGATATATATTTATCCCAGCAATTTCTCAGGCCTTCTACAGAGTTCTATGTGAATCAAAATCAAATATTAATATAGGTGATGACTTGACTTATAATTGTGACTTACCAGTGAGCTAACACCCACGGCCAGATCTCTACTAAGTATTCAAAAAAGAAATTCCAGTAGCAGCTGTTTATGACCTTTTACACTTTGATGAGCTATTACACTGATAAGCAGACATTACCAACTTTTTTTCATCCAATTCATTGGTAAAAGTTCACTGGCTGTGGAGGCCTTGAAACAAGTGTGCCAGAAAGGATCCTGACCCCTTTCCTCTCTACGCCCTGTGTGGTAGACCTGGCAAGTGAGCTCCTCAAGAACCCTAACTGGGAAAGGTGCCCCAAGGGACCGGCCTTCCTTTGCAAAAAGCACAGTACAATGTTCTGAGAAGGAAGCAGAACCACAGGCCTAGACCAGCCTGTCTTCACTAGATTTATTTCATCTCTTTGGTATTCCAAATGAAGGATCTTGAATTCCTATTACTTAGCTGAGGGGGTGGGGGGTGGGGGGGAATGAGCAACTGTTCTCAAACTTTTTAAATTCAGGAATCTTCTGCACTCCTACAAACAATTGATGTCCCCAAAGAAATTTTTACAAAATTTACTAATTAGAGATAAGACTGAAAAAATGTGTTCATTTCAGAAAGAGTTTATCCACTACATATCAAGTAAAATGGCTTTTTAATGGAAAAATATATTTTGCATTATCAAAACACTTGTAAGGAAAATAGTATTTTACATTTTGAAAGTCTCTTTCCTATCTGGTTTAATAGGAAACAATTAGGTCTTCTTAACTTCTGCATTCAATTTCTGGCAATGTGTTGTTTTGTTTTGTTTTTAAAGATTTATTTATTTATGCATACAGAACTGGAGTACAGGTCAGAGGTGTAGGGGCAGTAAGAGGAATCACCAGAGACAGAGTGGGGAGCAAAACAGGCAGAAATGATGAAGAACACTGCTGAGGGGAGCAGCAGGCAGGTCAGGAGAGGTCTGCTGCACTATGTGGGTCACCTCCGGGGCAGGGATTGAACTCATGCTGAAGTGGCTTCAGCTTCACAGTGCTGTGCTTTAACCCACTGCGCCACCAGGGAAAGCTAGCAATGTGTTTTTTGATTGAATAACCAGATTCACACAACTGCACATACTTCCCTTCACAAGGGAAGAATATTTTAGTAGCCTTTTTCAGGTAGTTCTAGATATTCTTTGATGCTCTGCTAAAACTTGACAGGAGGTAGTTTCTGCGTTTAAGTTATTTTGTGGGATTCCAAAACATGTCAATAAACTTGTCGTGTGTTATATCATTAAAGTCCGCAGAAAAAAACTTTCACTCTGATGGATCTTTTATCTAGGGAGGATGTTGTAACATAATTTGGAAAATCTCAATTGGGTGAGTTATATAGACCTTTCAAATGTTGACACGTTAAGTGTCAAAATGCCTTTCGTTGATACTATCATTTGTTCTCATTACAAGTAGATAGGTATATGGAAGCTATTAAGTTCATAGCAGGTTTTCAAAATTCTAAGTTGAAATGGCTAATGCAAGTGATAAACTGGATTGATAATACTATCTAATGGGTACTGTACTGGACAACACATGTCCATAACATTCTAACCAACCAGGGAGAGAAATCATAATGTACCAATATCTACCTAACCAAAACAACAGTCACTATAAATAAATCTACTAGCAGCTTTCCTGTTGAAAGGAGAAGTCCAAGCAAATTCAGACTTTAATTTTAATGCACATACGTGTGCATCCTGTTTTGCACATAACACACATTATTCTAGAAGTTCATTATCTAGAAGTTCATTATGGATACATTTTATTTTCTGTGTTCCCTAGTATTTCCCACCTCATGCTCCTTTTACAATTTGTTTTTACCATTTCTATTTGACTAACTCCTAAAACTAACTTTTTACTTCTAGTAACTCTCCTCTTGGGTTTGTTTGTTTTTTGGGGCATTTTTGTGGTCATAAGTCATTTTCACCTTACTATTTCTCAAAGGTTCTTTTTCTCAGCATTCTTGCACACAATTCAGTTTATAAGTTTCCAAGAATGTAAGCATTCAATGCACTTTCAAAACCACAGAAAATTCTTGGATGAAATAAAAAGCTAAGCACACTCTCAAAAACATGTCTCCCTGTTACATAGTAGCAGCAATTATTTGTAAATTAACAGGCACCTAATGCCCCCTACTGGCAGTACTGTACATTGCCTGATGAAACCTGCCCCACAGGGCACCCCTAGAAACATGTCTAAACATTTTCTTGTTTTATACAATAACATTTAATCAACTTTATGCTTAATAAGTAGCCACATGTTGAATTAAATACATTATATAAATGAACGTATTAATTCTTACCCCAAAACTAAAAGGTAAATGCTATTAACATCTCCATTTTACAGGTCAGGAAAAAAACACCCTTCACAAGACTGGGCATCTTGTCCAAAATCACGTAGTAGCAAATTGGAACTCAACGGATCTGAGCCTGATTTCAAAGTCACCTAACTAATAGATAAGCAGAGCTACCTGAGCATAGGCAGTCAGCCAGAGGGACTGAATGACAGATACAGGGATATGAGAAAGAGATGACAGCTATGCTTTGCCTGCTACTGCCAAATGCACCCTCCACAGAGGTCCACGGGCAGATTAGCAGATGGGCAATCAGCAGGACTCATTCAAAAACCAGAGCAAAAGCTACAGTATGCACAGATCTGAGGGTTCTGCAAAACCTCCACAAGCAGGTAGCAGCCAAATACTGTCTCTAACCTATTACACTGAGCACAATGTGGGTAAAATTGCTTTCAGTCATTGCAGAATTTTGCTTCTCCCCTTTCTTAGTCACTGATCAAGAGACCACTCCAGATGCCCCGGAGAGAAGTTCCCCGTCCTCTCAAGACCCTCAGCAGTCCACTAGTACTGGTAAGTGACTAAACCATGAAGCTTATTTAAGAAATCACACTTCCGTAGGAAGATCACCTTTCCTGTGTAAGCTTTAGGAATATTTTTTACTTTGTTTCTTCATAAGACTCTATAGGACCTTCCCTCAACGAATTATAAAGGCAGAAGAAATTAGAAAGCCTCAACCATAACTCTAGTTTCTTGGATCATGGGCATCCTAGACCACTACCTCTGGCTAGTAATCAGATACCTGATTTATCTTTGATTTATCTATTGGAGTATCTGCAATAGGAGGTACTCAGAAAAATGCCCTGTGAATGGAAGGATGGATGGATGAATATATGCATATGTTATGGTACTTTTAGCAAGACAGCTTCACCCAAAAGCACAAAGATTCTTACATGTCCTCTTGCTTGTTTCAAATGCTTTCTCAATAATAATTGCAATTGTTGGGAATATGTTTTCATGTTGTGATCATCTTCATAGTTCTCAGGCTTATTCAGTATAAATTATGTCATTTAACATTTAAAAGTTAACGTTCGGGGAGTAAGAACATGGTTATATATACCGTGTACCATACGGGATTTTGCAATGTTGTAAAGTCGAACAGCCTCCCCACTTGCTGTAATAATCCAATGTGTGTGGACACATTTGGAATCTAAATTAGCTGACGCCACTAATAAACAGATCAATCTTCTCCAGTGTAAGACTTAAGAAATGCGATTTCTACGATCCCTTGCAGTTTTCACTTGCTACAATTTTATCACTCTAAATTTTAAATTCCCACTCGCAGAATGGGTGGCTTCGTTGCCCAGAAAGGCCACACGGTGGCGCTGTGCAATGGTCAACAAGCCAGCAGAGGGAGAAAACAGAAAACACCCTCAAAATCAGAAAAAGACTTTTCATTTTTGTAATTCTCCTTACCCCACACAAACTTCCTGAGTCTAAGGGAAGGGTACGCATAGGTCTGTGTGACACTCTGCCTGTGTTTCAACATCAGAAGCATTGCTTTGGACATCTCTGGAGATTAGGCTTTCTCTCCTTAAAGCTGGGGCGGTTAGACACTCACCAGTGCTCGCTTGACACCTTGAAGCATCCTTAGAAACCTCCTCACTGAATCGGGAAGAGAGTCTAAAATAACAGCTTACAGTTGGAATTCTGAGTTTCGGCATTAGCTCTGTATGTATTTGCTGCAGGACTTGCGGCAATTTGCTGAACTTCTCTAAACCTCTTTTATCCAGAGCAGTGGTGAAAAACAATACACACACACACACACACACCCCAAATGCTCCTTTAAGACCCGGTACAAGTAAGTGGTCATAAAATATGTACCTTAAAAAAAAATCTAGTCAAAGTGAATTTGAACTTTCGCAACTATTTTTAGAAATCAGTAACTCAAAAGAGATCGGCTTGCATTTTTTTAAAAAGAATCAGTATTTCATTTCCAAAGTTGCTTTGTACGTGTGTATACACACACTCTATAGTCATGGGTACACACCTTGTCTTTTTTTTTTTCACCTTAGTTGCAGTATTGGAAGATTCCAGTGCATCGTTAGAGATTGGCAAGAAAAAGGAAGAACAAACCCAAGATGTTTACCTGTCCACTGGTAAGAGTCCCCCCATTTAGAATGAAATGGCTTTTAACCTAGTAATCAATCAATCCGGCGGGCCTTGTCAGCCCTCATTTCTCTGCCCCTTCTACTGATTACTGATTCCTTGTTCCTTGACATGTTGTCCCTGCTGGCTTCCCTGACACACTGCCTGGCCCTTTTCTTTTTGGTAACCAGTCCCCTGCTGTGTCCATCAGCCAGCATCCCTCCCTCGCTTATCTTCTCAAATGTTGACATTCTTCTGATTTTCCTTACCCATCTTTAGCGCTTTCGTAATTCTTAAAGAATTTTCCTACTCTGAAGATGGATCTTGTTATCTCCAGACAGAAGATTCCCACACATTTACTTCCAGAACAGTCACCTGAGCATAAGCCAGTTTCATTCCACTCCTATCCACCTCTCTAGTTGAACTTTCTATTATTTCTTCAAACTTAATCTTGCCATAAGATAAGCAGCATCTTTTTCCCCCCACAAAATTAACTGTCTGAGGTATCACATAGGCCTGACACATGTGATTCCTTCTCTCTTCTCTCTCTCACTCTCTGTCTCTCTCACTCTTTGTCTCTCTCTGTCTCTGTCTGTCTCTGTCTCTGTCTGTCTCTGTCTCTGTCTCTCTCTCTCTCTCTCTTTCTCTAAGTCCCAAAGAATCTGGAGTCTTCTCTTTCAGGAAGTTTTTCCAGTATCTCCAACCTGACCTGGGTCTTTGTCCTCTCCTGCATGAAGTTTTTCCTCATACAGTCCACTTCCAGCACCCTACTACCAAAACACCCCTTTGTTCTTCACACCTATGCTCAGAACACCTCCATGGCTCCCCCAGCCCACAACACAACCCCAGGTTAAAGCCCTGGTAAGATGCTCTCCACCACCCGCTCCTTGCCTCTGAAAGCCTTGACAAGCCACACACTTGCCTGCATGCTTTACCTAGTTTTGATTGTCCTGCCCTTGTTTACCTGAGCTGCCCCATGAGAGGAAAGACCCAGGGGTCCTTTCCTGTCCTGAGAGCCTCCTGCAGGTACAATCTCTTCACCAAAAACCTTCCTGACCCTCTCATCCCTGTGTCCCACTCCTGACCTGAACACATTATGCTAACACACAGGGGCCCATAACCTGACCTGGCTATCTTCCTTCTGTTTGTTTTTATTAAGTTATCTGTTGGCAGGTAGCAAAAACTCTCCCTTTAAGGACAAGGAGTATGTCTCTAAGCACAAGGTTTACACACGGCAGGAATAAGCCTCATGCCTAGACTACATTTGGGAAGTATTATGCATATTCCTCGATGACAAAAACTAGCGAAAAACCCTCCAACTTTCTAATGTCCTTTCCTGTTCCTTACAGAAGAAACTTCTCAGTCATTGGGGCTGGTGAGGAGGAAAAGTGGCATTCTGCTGCTCATCCTTGTGTCCTTCCTCCTTTTCATCCTCTTCGTCATAGTCCAGCTCTTCATAATGAAGCTCCGGAAAGCACATGTGATATGGAAAAAAGGTGAGTGGCAGAAAGCCCAGTGGAGGGCTCAGGGTGCTGGAACAATTAGCTGGGCAAAAACAAAAATGCTGTCAATGAAAGCTGTTCTGTAGATGTGCATGCTCTATGGGGTAAGTGCTGTCATTTCAAGAAGCAATTTTTGTTGTGCACGAAACAGAGGATACGAATTTCCACAGACTATAGTTAAAGAGAACATAACCAAGAGAAAGGTAGGGCATGGTAGGAGCTTCTATTCACAACAGGATGCAAAAGGAAGAAGACATTCCTGCAAGCATGCATGCATGCCTTCAGTAGGCATTCACTGAGCGCCTACTGAGTGCTAGGCACTAAGCCATGTCCTGAAAACACATTTTCAACAGAAAAGGCCAGGTCCCCACTTTCAAGGAGATCCTATGCTAGGAAGTGTCAGTCAGAGGTTGAATATCAGACTACAGTTCCCTTTTCACATGGAAAGAATGCACTCACTCTCCCTCCACAATAATGTCAGCAGTTTTTCCTTAAGTTTTCTGATTAAAAGTTATTGGAAACAAACATACTATCTTGCTAGCATGGAAGTTTCCTGTTAAAATAAATGGACACAAACATATTAAGCTGGAAGGAACTTAGACATTTCCAGAATAACCAGCTGATTAATTCATTTCATAAATATGTCCATTATTAAGTCTGAGTAAAGATTAAATCCGAGTAAAGATTAGCCCAGTGCTGTCCAGTCTAGTAGCCACTACATGGCTACTGAGCATTTGAAATGTGGCTGGTTGCTTTTGAAATGTGCTGTAAGAAAAAAATACACACCCAGTTTTAAAGATGGAAGACGTACATGAGCATACACAAATATATCTGATATCTTGGATCTTTTTACTTTTTTAATGTGCTACTAGAAAATTCAAAATGTCATTTGTGATGGATATTATCATGCTGTTGGGCATTGCTGACTTGGTTACAAGTGATTCAAACACCTGCAGTCATTATGTCCCAAGACAAAATACATTTTTGAATAGCTGACTCTCTTGAAAGTATCACTTCTACTTTGATATCAATCTCTCTGGATATTAAGATGCATTAAATTTTCATCATACACAGACTGACTTTACCCATTTGATAGGTAAATGCATAGGATTTTTTAAAAAATAAACCACTAATGTACCCTAGTTCTTTAAGGTGTGTTATATAATTGTTCCTTCTCAAGGAATAATACATGGCTCTAATCTACTGTCTGAGGCTCTTGCACTGCCTGATAACAGTCCCTGTATGAATCATAGTAAGAAATAGGAGGTTACTGAATGAAGACATAAAGGGTGGGAGGGAGAGAGTTAAGTCCATGATTATATAAAAACATAGGTATTGGCCCTCCCTGGTGGCGCAGCGGGTTAAAGCACAGCACTAAGAAGCTTAAGGCCACTTCCGCATGAGTTCGATCCCTGCCTGCCCCGGAGGAGATCCACATGGCGTGGCGGACCTCTCCTGACCCGCCCGCTGCTCCCCTCAGCAATGTACTTCGTCCATCTGCCTGTTTTGCTCCCCACTCTGTCTCTGGTGAATCCTCTCACCCTCCGCATCTCTGACTTGTGTCCCGTTTCTGTATAAATAAATAAATCTTAAAAAACATAGGTATTGTTCAAACCCACATTTCTACATGTAGATGATGTCTGAGGCACAAGAAATGAATAAAAGGTATCTTTTTTTACAGAAAATGAAATTGCAGAAAACACTCTAGAAAGTTACAGATCAAGGTCAAATAATGAAGAAACATCCTCTCAAGAGAAAAATGGTCAAGGTCAGTCAACTCAGAGACCTGAAACTTGAAAACTAAGATTCCTTAATTTGTTGTCTTTAAGGGGGCAGTGACATCAAAGTTGGATTCTTGTCCTAGAAAGCCAAGGAAGTGCATCTTAAATGCTTACATGAGATGGAACACGTAAATTCATGTGACTGAAGGCATTTTCCCTCAAGAGGCCATTATGGGTCCTCCTGGTCACACACAGCCACCCCCTACACTGTCCACCCACCCTGCACTGCAAATCATCCCCCCCCAGCACACACACACACACACACACACACACACCCTGCCATGTGGCAATTCCACGCTGTGTTGTCGATTATTGGTGTGCTGGTTTAGCTACCTGGCCCCTCTAGGTAGCAGTTTATTTACTCTATCTCCAGACCCCAGCTTGGCACAGATGGCACATTTGATAAATCTGTACTGACTAAATGAACATAAGCTTTAACTAAAAAGCAGAAACATTTCCACTCTTGCAGATGATTTCATTGCAATTCCTCAAGCAAATGTGTTAGGGAAATGAAGAGTCTAAAATAAGGCTGTGTGTGCTCTATGTGCACGTATATGCATGTCAGCGCGCGTGTTCTTGACAAAGATTGAATAGACAGAAACTCGGACTAGAGAAAAAGCAGGAACCCTTTACCTCAGCCATTGTTTCCTCCATGCAAATTATGCCAAGAATAGCAAGAAATGCAGTGAGCTTTGCTGCTATTACCCACTGGTTTGAGGTTTTTGTAGGAAGCTAGTCTTTATAACACCTCTGCTTTGTGTGTGTGTTGACAGAGGGGGGTGTGAAATGGAAAGATAGCGTAGCCACACTGGCAGGAAGAGGGCTCAAGTGAGCGAACTGTGTGAGAACTGGGGTGGGAGAGGAAAATGAAAGCTCCTTGCAGTTTGCTCAGTTGCAACCCATGATCCCACAGCATCAGCCTCCTATTCAACTGGCAAGTAAGGAGGAGGATGTGTCCATATACTGCCTGAACTAGGTCGCTTCCTGTGCTAAGCTTCCTCCACAAGGTGAATCAAAACAGTGGGCATAGAGTTCTGTTGCAGAGATGTCCACATGTTCTGTTTCAGATGTAGGAGTATTCTGTTTATGCAACAAGTCTTAAAAATTTAGACTGCCACACAGCATCAGACCATTTACATACATCCATGAATTTCAGATTTGATTCTTAAAACATTAATATATGAGCCTAAAAAAAGCATATACAAAGTGTTTCAGACAAAAATGTGTCTAATACTGTTCAAAATATTAATCATTCCCCTGCTTATCTTTCAGCTCCCAGCTCTAAGGGCTGCATAAACTATATCACATATTTGTACTCAGAAGTAAAAACAAAGCAGAAGGAGAAAGCACATCATTCGAGCCCAAAGGAAGAGCATACCCAGGTACCGGAGAGCATCGTATAGTGTCTCCAGCAACAAAAAGCACCATTGCAGAAAAGCTGCATCATCGCCTTGCTGGAGCAGCCTAGGCGAGGAGCCTAATTACTGTAACATGAAAACATACTTTGAGTGCAGTGTAAGCTGGCATCCTCGATGTAACCTGCCCTGGGTCCAGAGAAGCAAAATGAGGACAGAACCATAGACAGCAAGCTTCGTAGTTAAAAAAAAAAAAAAAAAAGCGGAGGAGAAGAGTGAATCTATTATGCCTGACACTACTTCAGAGCAAGAGGATTCTACTAAGCCTGGGAATCAGGGTCAATGTGACCAGCTAACATCTTGCCATAAAGGGAACAGGAATCTTTAGATGCTGGGCTCTGGTGGAACGACTTTTTAAAATTTTATTTTTAATCCTTCCTTCTGGTCTCCAAATGAAGAGTTGGGAAGTAAATGACCTTTCAAGGGTTTCCAAGTCTAGTATCTTACTTTCAAGATAGACTTTAAGAAGATGTCACCAACCACCCGAAGGGACATCTCCTAACGAGTGATTCTGCTGAGTGATTCCAAGACACAGGGTTAGTTCCAGATGGCGCTGAAGATTCAGGTTTTGTAGATTTTCTTGCTAAATCTGCCAGATCATAAGATGATCATAAGTTGAAAGTTTGTATTAGTATTCTTCCTTATAAAAACCTACACGTGAGAAAATACTGAGTTTAGTGTACTAATTATAGAACTAGTGGATGCTTTTTAAAAATTATTTAATAAAGAGAATACATATATGTATTTGTTTTTCTACTGACTGGATGCCAAGTCGTACTTCTGCCTTTCACCTTTAGATGTCAAAGTGGCAAGCAAAGTGTCTTCTTTTGCCTCTCAGTTTAGTTATAGTATAGCCAACCCTGGCATTTACTTACATTTCTCATTATTTGGAATTTTATAAATTAATTGTAAACTACTCCACCCACCCACCCCCGACCCCCCACACACATTTATACTATGAATTGGTCATGGGTTATAGAGTTTCAGATCCTGTGGTGCTGATTTTTTTCCTCTTGATAATTATTTTTAACATCACAAATTTAGGGAAAGGTATAAAATAAAAGAGTGGGTTGATAGGACTCCCTGTCACTGTCCAAATACCGGCGTGTGGATTTCCTTCCGGCAAGAAAATGCCAACCACAGGGAGTCACCCTAATCAGGGAGTGACCGTCCAGTCCACTCATCTCTACTAACGGGTCTCAGACTCCATTCAAGTTTCTCCAGCCATCCCAGGGGATCCAATTCAGAGCCATGTTTCACTTTAGTCTCAATTTGAACCATTGCTCACTCTTGACTGTACTTTTATGAAATGGGCATTTGTTAAGTTTCCGGGCTAGTTATTTTTGTAGACGTGGTAGATTTTGGTTTTGTCTGATGTTTCCTCGTGATCAATGCAATTATGCAACTTTGACAGGACTATCAGAGAAGTAATGTTTTGTTTATTACATTGCATTTTATTTATCCTGCTGTTAATGATATTTAATCACTTGTAAAGGAAATATGTGTAAGATTTCTGCACTATAATATTATTTTTCCCCCTTATAAGGTATTTTCTGGAATGCTTTTTAAGAATGATCTACATATTCTTTCCTTGTCAAACTTTCAGATATTCCAGGTATTTATTTATATCCATATGGACTTATGGTGTCCTCTTAATTGTGGGTTACAATCTCTTTCTATCAAGTTTATCTGTGGCTAATGTGATCATCAAAATGAGGAAACAGGCTTTGTGTCTTTCTTGTCCACAATTTTGAGCACTTTCTCCCAATCTGCTAAAAAGTATACCAAGCTCATCTTAAACATTTTGTGCCCAGTCTTATAATCAGCTGTTTCTCCAAAGAAGCTTGGTTCCTTTTAATGGAAAATGGTACTTAGAAGCCAAGACCCAGCGGCTAGGTATACACATTGCTTTTGGTTTCCTTATTATTAAGTCCTCTCAGCAGACAGTAGAAGAATTTAAGAGACTGTCCGTGTATGTATATTAAAACTGACTGAAAACCATGAGTATAAAACCAGGTTTTTCCCCCATCTGCCTAAGTCACTCTTTTCCTGTGAACTCTGGCTTTTATTATTATGAGTACTTATATGCTCAGCCTTCTCTAAAAGTCATCTCATATCACTCCTCCTTGAGGAGTCCTCCTCTGCCCACTCAAGTTCTGGCTCCCCCAGCCAGATTCTTCCACATAGATGCCCCATTCTTCCACATAGATGCTCCCTTCATCCAGTGTGAATGTGACACCCCACATCAGGTCACCCCCATATAGAAGTCCTCATCATGCACTTAGAACAAGCACAGGAACCTTCCTCACCAGGCTGAGGTTCCGACACGCCTCTCTGGGTCTCCACAACTTCCCCACCATGTGGACCCCACTTTGCTGTCTATACCTTATGACTTTGGGACTGAATCATTCTGGAAGAGGGAGAAGTGAAAAAGTTAGGAGACAGAGTCTGAGTTAAATATCCTGACTTCTAAGAGAGTGTGAATGTGTAAAGACCTCAAAATGAGGCAGGGTATCTATAGTTTTATAGCAGTTCTGAGACAGAAGTCAGTCATCAACCATGAGTGTTCTGAAAGCCACCTGGTAGACATGCTCACGTCAGAGATGGGGCTTGTGACATCTGGTCAAAACTTGCCACTGTCTTGTGCTACTTCAAGCCTGTCTTTGCAAGTTAGTCTTCCCAGAGGGTGTTCACTAGTGCTATGTCTATGGTTCTGGTGCCTTTACCCAAGAAGCCAAACCAATGTGCCAAAGTTACAATACCACACGAAGTAGAGATAAGCAACCTTGACTGATGGTCAGAATCACTCGAGAGGATTTCACAGGACAGGGATTCCCAGCCACATCCTCGAAGATGGGTCTCAGCAGAGCTAACAAAGAGCTTTGGAATGTGTGGTTTCCATTTGCTTTTAAATTCCCTGAGTGGGGCCTCCCTTGTGACACAAAGGGTTAAGTCTCAGCACTATCAAGCTTTCAGCAGCCACTGTGGCATGAATTCAATCTCCAGTCAGGGAGCTGATCCACATGGCACAGCAGACGTCTCCTGTCTCACCCACTACTTCCCTCAGCAATGTATTTCAGTGGATTCGCCTGTTATGCTACTTGCTATATCTCTGGTGAATCCTCTCAACCCCTGCCCCCTGGGCCTACACCCCAGTTCTTATATGTATAAATAAAATAAATCTTAAAAATAATAATAAATTCCCTGAGTGAGTGCAAGTGTTTGGGATGACCTCATGCTGCATAAACCCTAATTTTTCAAAGCATAGCTATAGTAGAAATATTACCATTAAAGTTGAATCAGGAACAGTCTTTAGAAGTAGTACATTGTTAGGCCCTCCCTGGTGGCACAACAGGATAAAGCACAGCACTATGAGATTCTCCAAAGCTACTGAAATATGAGTTTGATTCCCGCCCAGGGAGGTCACCCCCATGGCATGGCAGACCTCTCCTGGCCCACCTGCTGTTCCCCTCAGCAGTGTGTTTCAGTTAAGCTCCTGTTTTGCTCCCTATTCTGTCTCTGGTGAACCCTCTCATCAGCCCCCAAGCACCTGTGGCCTGTATCCTAGTTCTTGTATACATAAATAAGCCTTTAATTTAAAAAAAGAAGTAGTACATTGTCCTGGAGACAGAAGAACCTTGTATGTTACCTAGTCCTAGCTAATAGAGGCTATATCCCAACATACAGGCCAAACACATTCTGTGGACAAAAACACTTCAACTTGCAGAGTGCTCACTTCTCAACTTATAATTGGCAGGTAGAGAGAAGACAGGAACAAGAATAATGACATTAGTAAAGGACTTATTACATCTACTGTTTTTTTTTAAAGATTTATTTTATTTATTCGTACAGAACTGGGGTACAGGCCAGAGATGCAGAGGGTGAGAGGATTCACCAGACACAGAGTGGGGTACAGAACAGGCAGATTGAAGAAGTACACTGCCGAGGGGAGCAGCAGGCAGGTCAGGAGAGGTCTGCCTCGCCCTGTGGATCTCCTCTGGAGCAGGCGAAATCAAACTCATGCAGAAGTGGCTTAAGCTTCTTTGTGCTGTGCTTTAACCCGCTGCGCCACCAGGGAGGGCCTTATTACGTCTACTGTTTATGGGCAATCTAACTTGGTCATCCTAACACTGCACTGTAGGTATTATATTCACACGTCCCATATAACAGATGCTCCAAATGACTTAGGAGACTACCCAGATTATGTAACAGTGAAGGGGAGACCCAACATTGGCGTGGTTCTGTCTGTTTCAGTGCAGTGCCTCTCGGATGACCCCAGAGGGACATTTCAGAGGAAATGAGATGTTGGCAACTGTGCACCACACCTTCCCACTCACACACCACACTTTCACCAGTTATGTGCCCTGGGACGCTGGCACTTGGGCGACATCACTGGGCACCCTCGCCCTCACCGGCCTCCGGGTCAGGACTGTGGAGCAACGCAGGTGGGCAGAGAACATGTGTGCAAGGTCGTGAAGCACTAGTGGTCCACTGACCAGAGGTCACAACTCCCTCCTGGCAGTTCCATCTCTGATTCTGGCATCTGCTTGCTTCTTTCTCTTTGTCAAGTCCAGGGAGGTCCTGTGACTGTCCTTGGTGGGTCCCCCCAAAGCATGTAATGTACACACCTACTAAATCTTCTCGAATGACCCAATTGGAATAGATTGTTTTCTATATTTGCAGAGACCCTGATATATATTTATAGGTTGCTTGTACCTCAGCAAATCTAAATATAGTTGCTGATGACATATGATCACAAAATATTATAATATGGTAATTAGAAGCGCTTTGTCTGTGATCAACTGAAAGCCAGCCCTCAATACAAGAGTTTATGATAGAAATAATAATAATGAGAAGGGACCTTAACTTTCATCTCAAATATTTCTTGAAGTGTATTTGGAGAAACTGCCGGAGGTTTAGAAATGTTAATAGAAATTTGAGGCGGGGGAAGAAGCCTCCAGGGTCGAATAAATTTGAACATTGTGTCTTTCTGCAGGCATGAACAGTGTTCTCAGACAGACATCTGTTGAGTGTTGTGTAACCCAGAGAAGCT